AGTGGGTAGGGAGAGCTCGCACGAGGCTGAGGCAGGCCTGTGGTGTGTGGAAGACTACCCATTTTCTCTTCGTGCGATGGGGTATCACTTTATGTGTAGCGGAGAGACACGGTCTGAGACAATTTAAAAATTCATCCTGGCTACTGAGTAGTAACCAGAAATGAAGTGGAGGAACTAGGTAGTACAGCCACGAGGTAATCATGAATTGGACTGTGTGTGGCAAGGAAGGAGAGAAGTGGCTGGGTCCCGGACATATTTTGAAGGTATAGCCCATAGTTTGCTGGTAGACTGAATTAGGTATGGGAGAAAGAGAATTCGAGGAAAACCTAGAGGTTCTTTGGCCTGAGCAGCTGGGTCAGTCAGTGGTGGGGGCCCAGGGGGGAAAGCAGGTGAGGCACCCAGAAATCAAGACCAAGCTTTCCCTGAGAGCATTCCCGGTGCTGTGCTAGGTCCTGGAGAGATGAGGACAAACCAGACACAGTCCGTATCCACAAGGCTCCCCGAAGTGACATTAGAGCTTACCATCTGGAAGGAGCTCTCGTGGGATCGGGGCAGAATGCTATTAAGCAGAGAGAGTGAAGGGGAAGAATGTATATGAGTTGGCGTATTCTCTGTCTGATGAAAAGTCATATTATATTAGTATTCGCATTCATAACAGTTGCATTATTCTAGGATTTTCCAAAATTTAGCCCTCAAATTTTATGCATCGCAATCCCCTGAGACCTTACTAAAATGCAAATTACAAAATATCACCACAGCCTCAATGAATCTGATGCTCTTGAGGTGGAGTTTGGGAATCTACACTTTAATCCGTGCTCCCAGACAATTCTTGTGTCTCTTAAAGCTTGAAAGGGTATCGGCGTATCGCTCTATGCCCTATTTCAGACAAGTGGTATGTGACTGCTGTCACTTCTAAGTCATCCACAAGTTCTTCAAGTCTTGGCTCCTGCCCAATAGGAACCATGAAAGCAGGAGAAGGAAGCTGACAGCCGTGGGCATTAACCTCCATGGAGTCTGTGGTGGTGCTGATAACTACAATGCTTCCCTTGATAGATTTGCATACCCTTGATGTAGTTGAGGACTCTAAGTCCTTACATTAGTCTTTACAACTCACCTTTAGGGTAAATATCATGATCTTCATCTTACAGATGAAGAAACTGAGCATCAGAAATTCCAAATATCTTGTCCAACATCACATAGATAAAGGGGGCAGAACCATTATTATTTAAACATGAATATGACTCTAGATACTGAGCTTTATTTATTTGTTTACGATTCAATAGTTCAGCCATATCAAGAAGCGTTGCACAAATGCTCCCACAATCAGTTTTACAACACTGTTTCTCCTTCTTGTGCTCTTTATTATCAGCTCCTCATTAACCCCAGCCTCCCTTGCCCTGCCCCCAGGACCCCAGCATCTAGTTATTGTCTCTATGCATTCATTCATCCTGGGTCTCATCGCCTGCAAAGCACAGAAAAACACATCACAGAAAGTCAAGGAGGCTACCAACCATAACAAATACAACAGAGATAAACCCCCGTTTGAAAGAAAGCAGAAAATATTAAAAACTAAAGCAAATTCAAAATATATCAAAATGGAAATAAAATGATAAGCCTATAACCATTCAAATCAGATGTTTTATTTTAATCTATTATATGATAACCAGGCTATTCCCATCCCTTGGTTATGGTCAGGGGGAAATTGCCAGAGGCTTATTCTATATGTAGATCCTGCAAATGTACTCTGGGCTTCCACTGTCACCCATAGCCTTCTGCAAGCCAGAACTTCACAATTTAAATTCTGATTTCATTCTTTCCTTCAGATCTAGATCAGATCACGCAGGCTGGTGTGCTTCTTCCACATGGGCTCATTTAGATGGCTGCTTGTTTGAAAACAAGCCTTTACGACCCCAGACGCTATTCTTTCTGACAGCTTGGCAGCACCTAGTTTCTTCATCACACTTTGCTGTAGCCCCCATATCTTCTGTGATCTCTTGATGAGAGTTTATGAAGCAGGGCCATATTGTCAGAACTAATTGTTCTTAACTTAGAGCTAAGATTAAGTGTGAGCTCAAAATCTATTCCTATATCTATATTTTATATATGCCTCTCGTTCACCTTAGAGACTAGACATTGAGTTTTAATCGCCTCTTTATTTCATCTTCTATTCATTCATTTAATCAACAGATTTTAAGTGTCCACACTACCCATTCTATCAGAGTTACAATGATGAGGAACGGATTTCATAGAGCTTCTAATAAGGCAGCACAGACAGATTTGAACAAACACGCAAGCACTTGACAGAAGGACCTAGTCTAATCTGGTAGGCAGGAAAGGAGTTTGGGTTAGAAAGATCTCTTTGAGGAAGTGATGCTTCAACTGTGAACCAAAAGTAGAAAGTTAACCAGTCAAAGGGGTAGGCAAAGGGCTTTCCAGAGATGAGGTAGCATGTGCAAAGGCCCTGGGGCACAAGGAAACATAGCCCAATAAGAGAACTGACAAATCGCCACGGGAAAGATATGGTAGAGAGACTGAAAGTAAAACTGAAGACATCACCAGAGACCAATCACACAAGGCCTTATAGCCCTCTTAGAGTTTTTTCTTTAACCAAAACATATCTGGAAGCCACTGAAAGAGTTTCAGCAGGATTGATACATGGTTTGAACATATGTGGCTATGTTTGTGAAAGATAAGCTGGAGAGAAAGCAGAGTGGCCAGAATGCTCTTGTAGAAAGATGTAGGTGACTTCTTTTAAGGTGATGGCAGTGGAGATGGCAAGGAGAGAGCTGTTAGGGACATAAAATTGTCTAGACTTGATGATTGTACCGGATATGGGATGGAGAGTGAGAAAAAGCAGGTTGCCATGGATAGTCGATGAGTTTCTGGCTTGAGGAGATGGGCAGATGAGGATGCCATTCTCTCAGGTGGATGACACTGCATCAAGATTTTTCTGGTGGGGCTACAACAGAGATCATACTTGGCTTTTGAAAATCCTCTATGCCTATTCCACCACTCATCTATCACTTTGTCATACTGGGGTAGCTTATGTGTTGCTCTCACACTGGAAACTAAGCCACTGGTATTTCCAATGCTAGGACAGGTTTCAGTGGAACTTCCAGACTAAGAAGAAAGAGATCCAGTGATGTATTTCTGAAAATTAGCCAACGAAAATCTTATGGATGAGATTGTCGGACTCACTTGCTTTGGACATGTCATCGGGAGGGATCAATTGCAGAGGACAGCGTGTGGCTGAGGACTTTACGAGAAGCCTGTAGTGAGATGGATTGGCACAATAGCGGCCATGCTGCACTTGTGCAGTGATTGTGAGGATGATGCCAGGCCGGCCAACGTTTCTCTCTGTGGTACATGCATACGGTTGCTATGAATCATAGTCAACTCCTTCATAGCTGACAACAGTCTTTCCATTGGCTGTTGTTAGAGTGCTTCCACTGAACTTCCAGCCCTGGAGTTTACACTGACCTTGTGCCTGAAGCAGCTTTCTTTTGTTTTCATGGTCAGTGCTGCTCCAGATTGCGAAAAGCATATACTCTAACCTTCATTCTACAGATGGTTGGCAAGGTCTATGGGAGGGTCAGGCAGTGATTCATGCCGTTGCTGGGACTAGAACTCAAGTCTCTGGACTACTGAGCCAAAGTGACCTCCACCATTTTTCACAGGGCTAGTTTGGCTCTCTCCCCACCCCACCTTCTTGGTGTGGTCCGATGTCTACACTTTTCCTGATTATGCTATATCTGACTGCACTCCTGAATTCTCTTAGCCCTGGCTCCAGAAGCTCCCACTGGCCTTCCAAGATCCCAGTGGGGTGCCACTGTGTTGACTGCACTGTGCCTCTCATTTGTCTACCATGGTTTCCTCTCTGGGTTGATGTTTGTTGGCATCACAGGGTTGTAAATGTCAGATTCCCAGAACCAGTCTCTCAGGTTACTTAACGTAATAAGAACTCTTATTTAAATGGAAGGCTTAGGGGTATTTTTCCAGTCTCCCTTTTTTGTTTCTTCAGAAGTAAGGCAAAACAAAAGGATGTTTACACAAGAACAAATAAAAAACCTTCATGCATGGTAGTAAATGCATGCCCGAAGACTGAGCTGTTCTTTAGCTCCCTCATCCAAATGGCCTTTCTCTTCCTTCTCATGCTCAAAGC